GGCCTGTGAACATCGCTGGTCAGAGTTGTTTGTTCTGTATGTGCACAGGATGCTTTATAATTCTATTTATGTCCTTCTTACCTAAGACACTAGCAGCCAGGGTAGGAGATAAATCTTTTTCACCAGTTCATCTGACTTCTATTTTTCACCTTTATGACAGATTGAATCTTGATCGTTTGTTTTGTCCAGTGAGGGCCGTGAAGTGTTATGTTGCCTTCACTAATACCTATAGAGGTGCTAGACAATAACTTTTTATTCATTGGGATCTTTCAATTGTCCGGAATTTATCCCTAGCTACTTTGTTGAGGTGGATGCAAAAATTGTTCCATATTGCTTATTCTGGGCTCTCTTTGGAGGTGAGGAGACTTCTGCGAGTCGTGTCTCGTCAGTTTCATTACATTTCTATGTCCTTAGCAGGTTGGTATGTGGATCTCCTCCAATACTATCCCACATTATTTGCATTATCTGGTAGTATCTTCCTCTGAGAGTTTTTGACTACCCCATGTAGCTCTATTAACCATATCTGCAAGATTATAAGGACTTGTGAGTATATTCATTTCTAATATTATCTCTTCTTTACTTACCAGGGTCCCTTACCCCTATTTCATAGGATCCCACTTTGTGACAAGTGTTGACCATGCAGAAGTGCTTTTATCAAACCAATTCCACACTAGCAACCATTAACAGAATATATTTATCTAGGTTGCAACGGGCTCTGTAGAAATGAGGTTTTTCCGTGTGACCACCTAGAGACAGATCTGGTGGTATTACTGTGCTATGCTGGAATGCCACTCATGGACTATCATGAGTAAAGCACAAGGGCATCCTGCCCATCCCTGCCAATAATTGGATTGAATAAATCAGATTGCTTTTAAAAATTTAAGGAACTTTTTTCACCTATTCACTGTTTCCAGAGCATTGTTCCTCAGGACTCCCCATTGCACATTACCCTCCATATTCTACTAATGGAGCTAGGGAGTCTCTACCACACCCAGTTTCCAGTCACTGGGGCGGAAGACAGAAGTTATTCCTTCTGAGTGTTCAAGTGAATTTCCTCCACTCTTGGAGAAGAGGGCAAAGTTGGGGCCCCCCTACCCATGACCCTGGGCATTTTTTTTCTAGATGTTGGTAGGAGAGGCTCCAGCATACTCATAATACTGGTTCAGATTTGATCCATAGCTATCTGGTTGGGTTGAGCGTGGCCCTTCATTTTGATCAATATTGCTTCAGTACATTGTTCATGAAAAAGGGTCCATTGTCCTGAGTGGTCCTATCCTGAGTCCTTAGTTGAACACTGTTTGTTTTATGTCCTTCGAATAATTTTGGGGAGAAGTGGAATTTCCCTTGCCAACACAGTTGGGGAGTGAGGATGAGTTCTGTTTCTTCAAGTTGAATATGGCATACAGGATCCCATCATTCCAAATTTGGAGTGTTGCCTTTCAAACTTCTTCAGGTTGAGTAAAGGGTTTGTCCACTTAGGTGTTGGGCAATTAAGTGGGGAATAAAAGACTGGTGCAAGCAAGAAAAAATCAGACCAATGCTTAAATGGGCAAAGAAAGGAAACCCTAGCAGTCAAGTAATAGTTGTAGTGTGAGAGGAGGTATTATTGGAAATACATATTGGATTTAAGAAAATGTTAACTTCTATGCTCAATTTTATAGCACAAATAAAAAATGAAAAGGTAGATATAAGTGGTGATGTATACATTTTTTGGTGATTCTGTTGTGTACTAATTGCTCAAACGCAATAAGAAATGCATCTAGTTTCTTAAATTTCAAAATATCTCCAGGGGATGAACTCCAGGCTCCCCTATGAGAAGAGGATACCCCTCCCCCATGGTATTCACTAATCCACCACTTTTTTTGGGCCTGAAAACCCCAATCATTTACTTTTATCTACTAGCCACCTACTTTAAAATTTCATGATAGCTCTATTTTACCTATTTTATCTTTAATAACTTATATTCATGTTGTGTTCACTGTATTAAAAAAAGGATCTTTATAGTATTAAGATATTCAACAGAAAATGTCAAAGCTATATATATATATATAGGACTCCTTATAATGCTACTGTAGGGCATGTACCTTAGCTGTTACTTTGTTAATGAAAACTGAGATGAAACATTTCAGACCTGTTAGTGTATCTAGCTAAAACATTAGTACTTTTCATTCAAAAACAATGCACATTTGTTATAACTTACACTTATAACAGTGAGTGATGCATTAACATTTATGTACCAATTATATGAGTGCATCTAAGTTTGTTATCATACTGCTTTTATCAGTTGTTGTATTTGAATCTATATGTAAGTGTCACATGATGAATATTCCTCTTCATCAGTTTCACTGTTTAGCTCATCAGTATAATTTTATTCTTGTTGTGTATAATTATTGTGATACCATTAGGCAGCTTTGCAACTGCAATATCATGGAAGTTGAGCCTTTTAGTTAAATACTATACATGTGATAATGTATACTACATCTTGCTGAAGTTCTGATAGTGCAAACTTTTCATGTTCAGTTTTTATACAGTAGGTAGAACATCATTCATCATCACAATCTGCTACAACTGTTTAAAGTTAACACTTAACAGATACAATACCTTGGTAGTTTTCCAAGTTAAGTGCTTGAGATTGGGCCCCTTTCTAATGAATACAAGATTTCCACCAACAGATGAGAGAGTTTTAGTTGCTTAACTCCGTGCTTTTTGTTAATAATAAACAGCTTCTGGGATAATTCCATGACAAATCATCCAATAGGTAACATCCTACCTCCTCTGACTTACATCAGACTTAGCATGGAGGATTGTTCCAGATAAAATAACAAAAATAAATAGTGGTTAACATGATTGTTTCATGTGGTAAAAAATCATATAGAAGTCAAAATTTGGGTGAGCAATGTCCTCTCAAATTTTTAATCAACCTCATCATTTAAACAAATTTTATAAAAATGGGCAACTTAATCTAGGATTGAGTGTCATACTTTGATTAACATTTCCAGGCTCTAACAAGACTGGTTATAGAAGAATGTAAGGCCTTACTTCCCTATGTATACAGATAGGTGATTAGTGGAATTTCTTAATTGATTAATTGTCAGGCTCATTAATCAATTGCATTCTATTAATTAATAATTCTTATGTGAGACTTGGACAGATAGAGTAATTGAAAATAGCAATAATAGGAAGCACTAATTTTGATTAGTTGATTACTTTTAGTTGTAACAAATTAAGCTGAACAACCATGAATTAATTGAAAATATTAATTAGAATTCATAGTGGAAATTTGATTACTTGAATAGCTGAAATATCCAAAACAGTAATAATAAGAAACAGTTAGTTGATTTTTTTTTTAACATTAATCAATTTAATTGTAATTTTGAATGATCAGTTATTTAAGTGACACTAATCAATGGTCATAGGCAATTGATCATATCTATATAAGTATAATAGTGCTGTCTGTTGTATGTCCATGCTACTACTTTACAGGACGTGGATGGATCTTCTCAAAAATTGGTATGGAGGTTCATTGGAACCATGGGGAGATACATACAAATTTTGAATAGCTTATTTCTTTTTCTGATCAGTCTCAGTTTTTAAATATTGTTTCTTCTGCTTAGACTAATACTAGGTACTAACTGTTTTAAACTAAAGGTTGTAGATTAAATTTGTTATGGAACACCTCCATAATGATATGAATGGGCTTTATATCACAAAAAAAAAGAACATAACTATAGTAAATCGAGACAAAGATCTTCATGTATTTAAAATATTTTAAACATTAATACTTCCCTATTTTCAAACAAATGGGACAAAAGTCAGGTCTTTTTCAAGACGTTTATTAGGGTTATTGGCTTCAGATATCTCTTGCCATCATGATGTGCCATGGCATTGAACTTTTCCTTTGTAAACTGTTTTGATCTCTGATACCTTTGATATAAATAGATTGGTATTAGCACCAACAACCTTAATATGCTGCTTACTGTGCTGAATCATCAGTAACACTTATTTAATACAGTCAGCTTTCTCATGTCTGTAATCATTCTCTTCTTTTACAACATGAATGTGGCTTTAATATGGTTTGGTTGTTGCTTCGTAATTTCTACTCTTGTAACAGTTACATTTTGCAAAGATTTCATATTGTTTTGCCTTTATGAAGGAGATAAGTGCCACAGTAAGTATATGTGACACAATTAAGTGCTAAAAAGTGAACATGAGAGAGAGAGAAAGAGCATTACAAACCTAATTAAAACTTCATCTATTGTTAATGTCTCATAAACTCATATGGCTGAAATGGATTGACTGAAGACTAGTGGTGGCAATGTATTATGTTACATTTACATGAATGAAACATTTCTGTTGGGAAACCAGGACAATATCATCCAGATCTCAATTCAGCACAAGCTTTCTATGAAAATTTCACCTTAAAACACCATATATATCATGCTTATAAACTTACAACACTGTCAAGTTGGACAGTGGTAAGTTCAATATGGTACAAAGAATACATATTCCAGGTGTGTCAGATAACCAGACCTAATTTGAATTATCATGTTTACATAAATTTTCTGATTTAGAAAAACTTTTAATGTTATAAACTTTTTTTTCAAAGGTGAATTTTTTTTTTTTGTAAAGTTCACAATTCTATTGATGTGCTGTGTTTTTCATATTTTGTATCTGACTATGTATGTTGCTTTTGAAGGCTAAGACTTAAAATGTTTAGCATGTTTTCAACAATATTTTCATCTGCTTGAATAATATTCAGTATGATTGGGAGTATAAGTATTATCAGAACACTTCTATCAGTATATACTGGATTTTACTTCTTTTATATTCTGTCATACTTCTAATGTAACTATTAAGAATAAATACCCTGTGAATTTGACAGTGCTGCAAGAAAAATTTTTTTAGACACTAAGTCCTTTTAGTTAAGTTATAATCATAGCAATAACATTCAGTACACAGTGTACAAGAATTTGATTTCTTTCAAAAATAAATCTTCATAGACAAACAGCAAATCAGCAAGGAATGACAATGTCAAAAGTTGGAAAACAGAAAAGTCAAAAGGAATCTGCTACTGGTCAGCCTGAAGTTACTATAGGAGAAGATAAGTCATCTCCAGTTAGTAAGGAGAGTCATTTATCAAGTGAGATTGATGTGTTGGAAGAGGAAGATAAGATAGATGACAATAGGAAATTGTTAGCCACTAAAAATTCAGAATGTAGTTCTACCAGCTGTACAGGTGAGGTTGTCTTATTTTATAGATTGATATATTTGAAGAAAATATATTAAGCAAAAATGTTATAATGAAAGAACAGAAAACCGAAATAAAATGTGCAGTTTTCCAAAACGTTCTGAAATTTCAGGTTCAATAAAAACTCCCCTATAGAATAACTGGCTCAATTAAAGAAATAAAGTTTGGTTACTTAAGTCAGATGTGTTTGTATTTTATGTCTGTTGTAGTGAATCTTACACCTAGTGAGACCTGAGACTTACATGTTTGTGGGCATGTTTGATGGACAAAAATGTTGGGAAAATTCCAGTTTCATCTTGCATGGCATGAAATTTGAACTTAAGTCCTGGCATTTTCTTTTGTAATTTTTGATATGAATCTTGCAAGTTATAAATCAAACAATTGCTATTAGCATTTTTGTGTGTACAAAAAATATCTTAGTGTGCTAGCAAAATATGAGATTAAATTCAGTGTACAAACATAGTGAAATTTCTATTGAACATTGAGTGGACAATGCATGTGAAAGCTGTATGAACAGGAGTGTAGTGTAACTAGGGCAAGGAGTTCCATGGTGCTAAGTTGCTAATAATTAGATTTTTAGTTATATATTTTTGAAATATTTCCTCATTAATATTTGGGTTATAACTACATCATAATAACAATAATTAATACTGGACAAATATTAACACTGACTAGTGTACAACTTAAATGCAAGTATTTAAAAATACACTTCTGTCAAACAACGTGTGTGTTTCAGTGGAGATGATGACCTTCCCATGTTTCCATACAAAGCATTTCCAAGGAATGCCGACTTTTATTTTCTATCAGTTATTAAATGAATGGCAGCACTTTCAGCCAAGCAGAATTGGAAAAATAATCTGAATTCAACACACTTTTTATCACTATTTTATCTAATAACTAGCAGGGCTCTGGTATGTACATACTTTGAAAATCAATATAAATAGATATTAAGATATGGTAGACTTAAACATACATTTCTATAAAATGTATACATAAACATATCACATCAGCGCACAACCTGTGTGAATTTTTCTTAACTATCCCAAGCAGTGTTGTTAAATAAACATACAAAAAAAATGCAGGTATAACAAAAAGAAAATTTATTCAAATCTTAGACCTCTGACTTGATATATTATTATGTGAGCTTCTGTATTTAATTCCTATACTGTACTTACCTCCTCTCACAAGATCAGCTATTCTCGTTCAGTGTTGTTCTCTGCATGCAAACATGTTCTTATGCATGCCACAAGCCTTCTGCTCCATCCTATTGGAATTTCAAGATTCCAATATGTCTCTCCTGCAAATCATTATGCGTCACCTCCTCACCAATAGAAGCATGACATGCTCATGTGATGCATGTGACTCCCTCTACACTCCTCTACTGAACTATCACTTCTCGTTTGGCAGTGCTTGTGTTCGGACGTGTTCTTTTATTTGTTTAACTCTTTCTTTGTGCTTGTTATAGTTTTTGTGCTATAACTCTTAAATTACTAAGCATATGTTAACAAAATTTGGCAGATCATCAGTAAACATTACCATGCTTTCATATGCAAAATATCAAATTTTTTATTAAGTCTTAAAGTTTGTAAAGCAATGTTTTCTCATGCCTTTTTTTTTCTTTTCACATGTTACCTATCCAACATACAAAGTAATTTTCATTTTAAGATTAAAAATACTATTGTGCATCAGAAAATTTTCAAATTTCACATGAAATATCTTTATAATGTCCAGATAGTTATCAAACATTTCTTAAGAAAAAAAACTATATTTTATCTGTTATTTTCAGTAAAACATCTCTGTAAGGGTTTGGTTGATTTGACTGATCTTTTAACCATGTTAAAAAAATTAGGAAACAAACATAAATTATGCCTTTTTCATTATAGAATGACTACAAATTACAACACAAAACATAAATATTTAGATTAAATTGCTTAAATCTCATAACATTGTACATTTATATATATTTATTATATTAACTTTTCAGCCACACCTGGCTAACAATACAGAAGTTACAATGATGAGGTGCACGAGCATTCATGTTACCATATCTAATAATATAAAACCGACCTTTAGTCTTTACAAAGTGACCCGTCTTGGCTGTGTTTTATTTTGTAAAATACGTTCACTTTTCAATTATTATACATTATATATGTATATAGATTATTGCTATTTAGAAATAAGTTTTAAACTTATTTTTCTCAAAACATAGAACAGTAAATAAAGAAGTAAAGCAAACAATTATCTTTTCCAGTTACGACCTTTGTACGACTTTTAAATTAATTTGCTTTCATTCAGCCTGTTTTTCTATTAGTATTTATCAGTTAATTCCTAGTTGCCTTACTTTCTGCACTCAAATTTGGTGAACCTTTATGTGCAATGAATTCCAAAGTTACATCAGTGGCCATCATTATTTCTCAAGCCTTTGTCCCTCGACATCACCCAGGCTCCTCCAGAACAGGCTGATGAGGACTTCAATTGTCTTTTTTCACCTCCAGAATTTTGTCATTCCTTCCCATTACCAACCCGATGAGACTACTTGGTTTAATGTGGTCTTTATGGATTTTGTGCCTTGGATTTGTGATGTTTTATCCCTTTCCCCCTATTTCTTATGCACCTTGTCCTTCCTTACTACTTGAACAATCTTCCCAACCCTTTTTGGTTTTCCCCCCTCACCTAATATTAGGGTTCACGCTGATCACTTTGTCTCACAATTAAGTGAGAGAATTAGCATGCTGCACCTCCTGCGGACTTCAGATCAGTTCACACTCTCCTACCATCATGCTGACTATCCATTTTTGGAACCAGCAGTTGTTAGGTTACTTATTGCCTATTTGGGGGCGGCTCCTGAATTATCTGTCAGTCTTACCCATGCTCAATATTCTTGCTTGCATCTTACCCTTAAAATCTATTATGGTATCTTTCTTCCATACACTTCCTATTTGAGACTCTCCACAGAAATCCTGAGGGGTTTCCTGGAGATATCCTTGCCCTTCTCTCCTGCACTTTAGCCCACATGTTGTCTTCAGCTCTGGCATTACATACATGGTTTCTGTGTTATTGGGACCTTATAGGTCGTGACAGCGTATTAGTACAGGTCTGTATACCCTCAACATATCTTAGGGATTTATGTATGGCCACATTTCTGAGGCGTTATGTTTTTGAAAGGGTCCCAGAAACTTTAGAGCCTCAGATGACATTGGTCCAACAACAATTCGCCCTTATAAATATCATAGCCCACTTGCCTCAGTTAAAGCCTCATATGCCTCCAATTACTGTTTCCCGTACTTCCCCTTCCTTATCTGTCCCTTCTACTTGGGGTACTTTCCTTAACGAAACACCCTCATCACCACCAGTACCAGTGACTACCCAATGGGTTCTGGTGTGGTAGTAGCTTGGCTGTTTGAGATTCTTCATCGCTGGCATTCCTTTGTCAGTGATCAGTGGGTGCTTCAGGTTCTGTTAGATGGATTTGTTGTCCAGTTTCTTTCCCCACCTCCCATCTCTCCTTACCTTGTTTCCTTCCCTCCTTCTTGAGATCCCATGGCCAGCTAGTGTCTTTCAGAAGTAGTTTGGGAATTGTTCATCTGGTGAGCCACCAAACCTGTTCTCCATCCTTCCTTGGGTTTTTATTCACGCCTTTTCGTTGTCCCCAAGAAAATTAGGATTGGCAGCCGGTAATTAATTTATCTCAACTCAACCACTTCATTTCACTATTCTGGTTCACCATGAAGTATTTTATCAACCGAGATGGGTGTTTTCTCCAGGGTTGTTGATGATCGAAATAGATGTCTCCTACACTTACCTACATATACCGATATAACCTCAGTCTCATCCTTTGGTTTGACCATCTCTGGATGGTTTATCAATTTCGGGCCCTCCCTTTCGGTCTTGCCTCGACACCTTATGTATTTTGCCAAGCAGTCCGATCTTTTGCTCGACATCTCCATGTCTGGGGCTGCAATTTCATTATTACGTGGATGACTGGCTTTTTCTGGTTCATTCTGAAAAGGAATTGGCCAATCATGCTCAGCAGTTTTTTTCTGTGACAGCCCAAGTGGGTTGGTTGAAGTCCTTCCTCAGACCCACTCAATATCTTGTCCATTTTGGGGTCTTTTTCAAAACTCGTATCAGTCAGGCCCAACCTTCTCCTTTACAACTTCATTCAATGGAACTGTTGGTTTGCACTACCCTCTTGGCTCAGTCGATTACTGCTCACGAGGTTCTATCACTTTTGTGGATTTGGTCATCAATGACATCACTTGTCCCCTTGGTTGTACCCATATGAGATCTCTTCAGCAGGTGCTTCACCATCAATGGAACCTTGTTTGGAATTCTCTTTCCACCTCCATTACCCTTCCTTTTTCCCTGTGAGACGATCTGCTTTGGTGGTTGGACAAAGCCCATATGTCGGTGGGCATGACACTTCTTCCCCTGTATTTCAATATACCTCTTTTCATGGAAGCATCCTTCAGAGATGCAGTTAATCACCAGGAGCCTTTGGGCTATTGGTCTGGAGATGAAATGTTCTTGAACTTATAGTCATACATTGGGCATTGCATCACTTCCTTCTTCTCACCCAACATTGTCTGGTGATGGTTCATTTAGACAATTCTACGGTATTTACCACTTTCCTGTTACAAGCCACTGGGATGGTTGACCATGGAGGCACCCTGCTGAATGAGTTCCACACAGTTACAAAGTAGGGCAGTTTTGTTCTATAGGTGAAGTGATATCCTCCTATTTGCGATAACCCATGACAACCAATGATAACCCTTCAATTGGAAGCCCTCATCCTAACCTTGCATAGATACTGGTACCTCCCGGGTAAATTTTAGATATAGAGTGAACTGATCAACATACATCCTCATAGAGGTTTTGGGTTGTCTATCTTCCTCCCTCAAATTCCTCCATATGTGTTGTAGGTCACAGCAATGGTATGTAGCATTGTTCTTGTTCTGACCTTGGCTATCCCTCATCCTCTCTTCTTATGGGGATGTTATTGCCATTTGGATGGTTCTATTTGTTTCACAGTTTGGGGAGTTGATTGCATGTGATTGACATACTTTTAGAAGTTGTAATTTTCGTATACTGAAAATGTATTTTCAATAGGTACTTATCTCCTCTCGCACTTCCCACATTTCTACAGTGATGACATCTGCCAAACTTCAAAGTGATAGTTCGGTAGAGGAGTGAAGAGGGAGTCACATGTGTCAAGTGAACATGCCATGCTCCTATTGGTGAGGATGTGACACACGATGATTTGCATGAGAGACACGTTGGAATCTTGCAATTCCAATAGTAGGGAGTGGAAGGCTTGTGGCATGCGTAAAGAAAAAGTTTGCATATAGAGGGCAGCAATGAACAAGAATAGCTAATCTTGTGACAGGAAGTAAGTACCTCTCAGAAATACATGTTCAGTGTAGGAAAATTATAACTTCAGGTATCTCAATGGCCTGTGTAAACTTATTTCTAAAACACACTTTGAAATGGAAACAAAGCAGCTATATATAATTGCACTTTGTGTGGGAGTTGGCACGGTTACTTGCACACAAGTGTTTGGAACTTGTACTAATATATTATTAACTGAAGTGTAAAACAATTAGTTTATCAATAGTTATCATTTGATCATAAATATAAATTATTATATTCTGACACTAGAGGCATACTAGAAAGGTTAAACAAATGGCAAGTTTGACTAATGAACTTATAAAATGATAAGAATATTAGTAATTTCACTCCTTCTCATAAGATTTAGTTAAAAAGCATGCTCGTTTTAGGACAAGGATGAATATCAGGGCTTTTGAGTACATACCAAAATGCCATTTACAAATATATTGCAATTCTAGCATTTATTGATGAGTTTTGTCTTTAGTTTTGATTCTGAACATAGAATAATAGTACCTTAATCATTCATATATTTCAATTATATGTTTGTTTGTTTCTTCAATTGTAAAATTTAAGTATAACTAAGCTTTGTGTTTGAATAGCTTAGGGCACAAGCTTCCTTCAGACTTTGTACCTATACAGTTAGTGTTTTAGACTTACTGATTTTAGTACTAAAGAAAATTTGGTTTTTGGACCTTCATTTTTTTTAAACATTGCATTCATAGAGGATTGTTTATTTAGTGGTTACAGTGTCATAGGTAATGACTAATTTGTTTTGTTTTCAAGCTTACTTTTAATTACCAAACTCATTTATTATACAGTAAAAAAAGATCAAGAATTGTTCAAAACAAATACAGGAATTGAAGTAATTCATGAAGACCTGTCAGATGCCTCTACTCTATCTTATATACGTGATGAATTATTGACTGATGTGGACATGAAACCAGGAGTTCGGCACTATGTACATAAGCCAAACACTCGTTTGAATGTTATCCTTAATCTAGTGGTGGTATTAGCAGTAACTGCAGTGGTTGGATTTGGAGTTGGACATTTCTTAGGTTTGAAAAATATATATATTTTTTATTTAAAAAAATACATATGTATGGAATTCCTTCTGAATGGTTGAAGAGACATGGTTTGGTTCATGAAACTTAGCACAAATTATAACTAAACTTCATATAAGTCTTGTTTTATGCACATGATATAAAGATGGTGAATTTCTCCATGAAAACTTGCATCAAACCTAACTGAAATTTTGGGATTGAAAGCTTATTAAATCAACTTCATTTAAATATTTCATGAAATTTTGTCTACACTTGTTATTAATGCCATTTTATTATCTTGTAGTTCTGTGCTAATATAACTATTTTCATAGAACTTTCTCATGTGAAATTTAAGGTTGAAGCTGTGCAGCCAATCTTCCTTCACTATTACAGTAATATTTATTGCTGAAAGTTGTTTTTGTATGTGATTTACGAGTTGAGAAATGATAAAAGTAGGAAGATTCTGGCCAAGCTTAAATGATACAAGGGCAGAAGAGGACACACAAATGTATTGAATAGTTTCTGACAGTTTGTTCCATTTCTGTAATTTATTCAGTATAATGTAATTCATTGTAAGTACCTGGTTAGATGTCTGTATCATATCATTTGAATAATGCCACTTTATAAGATTGGTTCCTAGTGACATGTACATGTACATATAAATGTTTGAAAACAGTTATCTTTTTTTAAAATTATTTTTTAGCAAATTATTATTAGTAGTTTCTACATTATATAACCAGCTTCTTTCAAATTGTTTTTAGAATATCGAATTAAATGCTGTAGTTACTATGCCCTGTAAGTTAACATGTTTAATATATAATTTCTTTTTAATATATAATGTGTCCCAAAAGCCTGATCACATGGGCAAATAAGAGTTAGACTTGAGACTCCCTATGTACATTTAGATATATGAACTTAAAATTTAGTTAATTTGTTCTTTATTGTGTGTTTATTTATATATTTATGCCAGGTTGGTCTAATCAGTGGTTGTATCAGAAACAAGTGACCCGTGGGCAAGTTTTTAAACTGAAACAACTTGAAGAAGAACTAATCAAGTGTATGGAGCAGGAAAATCAACAGACACAAATATCTCGGGATTCTACAGTATGTAGCAAAACATTTTTATCTTTTTGTCTTTAAGCATAAACAATTCCTATAATAAGTTAAAGGTATAACCCTATTGCCCCAGGTACCCTTTACTGTGAATGATACAAGGTTTTAGTGTTTTACATTCAGAATTTTATTAAACTACATTTTTTTTATGTTATAACAATTAGAATAGCACAAACTCTTAACTAATAATCCATATTTTAATAGTATATAAGTTTTAAGTTCTTAATTCTACAAGGGAATATTTAAAAAAAATCATGAATTTACACTAGTGTGACCCAAGTGACACATTTTCTCTTAGCATGTCACCACCACTCGAAAAATACTCCATAAAATAGTTTTCCTCAAACAAACCATATTTTTTATAGCCTTCAATTTTGTTTGTATACAGAGCTATCAAATAGAAAATAAGACCCTTACTGCCACACCCACTTGTCACATCCTCTCTTTCACAATTCGTTGATAGTTCTCTTTTACATTTCATTATATATTACACATAACCAATAGAAAGTCAAGGTTTTCATCTATCAAATCATGTATTGTATAATATTGTGTTCTGAACAGAATATCGTTAATTTCACTCACAGTACAAGATTCGTTCCAGTGGGAAAGTTAACGACTAACTTGGATGAATTTGTAACGGCTGTTGTCTCATAGTTAGAAAGCTAGGAAAATTTTGAGAGGTAAGTGAATTTGTTAACTTTTTGCATCTTATTAGTCTATATTCTTTGGTGCATTATTTAATTAAATACAAACTATTAAGTGCATTAATATCTATAGTATAAAAAATTAAGGTTTGCTCTCCTTGAAAACCCAAGAGCAAGAAAAAAGAAGATTGGTAAGGACTTTATTTTTTCTTTTTCATACTTATTCCTTATTTATTATTACAAAAGTAACTAAAATCTAAAAATACGGATCTTTTTAGTTATTATATATATATATATATATATATATATGTTATATAAGACTAGATTAGGTAAAATAAGTAATTTAACCTAATAAAATAATTAAAATGGTTCACAAGGCATGCACGTGAGCAGCTCATGGGTAATATAATTTGATAGCCTAACATGAGCTGCACGTTCCTCGAGTGATTTACAACTTATAATGGCATGGCTCAAAGGGTAATAAAACAATATAATTTAATTATAAATAGATGTATACTGTTATGAACTTAGAGCTACTTCGGACAAACGAATGTAGTTTCATGTTACAATTTGAAGTCATTCTAGAAAGAAAAAAAGGGGGTAATTTAAGTTTATTTCGATTTTTTTTTTTTGGTGCTTACGAGGTTGGGCGAATATCGTTTTAAGATAGAGTAGTGAAAATAACAGCTAAACTATAAAGGTTTACTGAAAAAAAAACGTTTGAAATGTATTTAGGAGGTTTTAGGGATTACAAAAGGTAATTTGAGATTTTGAGATGAGGAAAAGTATTTTTAATTTTAACATCAAAATTACTTTGCACATGGACTACTCAAAACAAATACTCAATATATTAATTGACAAATCTTTATTTTATTTTATTAAAAATACTTAACTGAAAAATATGATTTTTTTGTATGTGAAAGGTTTATAATATGAACTGAACGACTGCCAAATTTTGTGAAGATATACATACTATATTGAAGGTTAGAAGTATTAAATCTGTAAAGACTTTAATTGAGTACAAAGAGGTCACATGGTCGGTCAGATTGACCAAGCCCATGTTGAGAGAGTTAAAGCCTTTCCTTGCAGAGTATAACTTTTCATAAACTAGATGTAGCCCATAAGTCCATGTTGAGGTGCATGTTAACCTGAGAAAAAAAAATAGGGAACACAGTGCTGTGAGTAGCTATTTAACTGAAGCACTATATCTACAAAAAAGAATCACATTTTTCTCAAAAAGATATCACTAATAATTAGAGATGCACCTAAACCCTTTTTTGCTAATAGTGCTGATAGCTAATACTTGTACTTGGTAATTGGCTAAGACTCGTATTATTTTCAAAATTAATTAACTTAATTTTTTCATGCTTCTGTAAATTCAAGATACCAACAGCAACAGGAAAAAAATTAATATTTTCAAAATTAACTCATTTTTCCCAAACCAGGGAAACCACCAACAGGAAACCTCCACCAACGGGAAAATATTTTCAACATTAATTAACTTTTCATGATCAGACATCACTTATTCCAAGGAACCGTGAAAATTTAGGAAATTTGACGAAATATTAATAATTTTATATTTGATTGATTTAATGTATATTACTGGATTCATATGGAAAACCCTTATTAGGTAATTAGTTTACAGATAGAAATATATCTCATTGCAGTCAGAGGCATAAACATTATAAAATATTGTGGTACATGTACATTTTAATGCTTCTTACTTTGGGTTTCTTCAAGGTCATCTTCTGATGATAATTCATGAGATTTGATCTCTGCATCTAAACTTTCAAGGTATTCATCAGAGCTTTAATTTTCATTTTCATCATCAATATGAATAAGAATAAGTTTCTTTGTTTGTTCTGCTGTTTAGTGATATCCATTTCTACTCATATTTATGAAATTTTCATTCTGCAAATGAATATGTGGTTTATGCCACACAAGCAATAAAAGGAGAAATTATTGCTTCAACAAAATGTCACAATTATTATGGTCAAAAGCAGGTTTCATACTGCCTTCTGGTGAATTGAAGTTTAGCTGTATGAACTATTTACATTGTAGGACCATGATAAATTAAATTGTGATGAGCCAAGGGTCTTATATGTTGGATTATGGTAAGAACATACCAGGTAGTTCCATTTGGTTCCTGGGAATAAAAATAGTGAGTGTGCCAAATACACCTATATGGTAAGTAAGGGATTAACCCTCTCACTACAGGTAGGTCAAAATGTGCATGTCACGACTTTTTACAGAATTTTGAATGTAGATTCCAAATTTAATCAAACGGCTTTAACAATGTATACAAATGAACTTGGCATCAAAACTTAGTTAATAAATCAAAATATAATATTATATAAGTTGTAAGCTTTTAATTTTATAAGGAAATATTTAACAAAATCCTCAATCTCCCCTAGTATGAGCATCATAAAATTTATTCTCTAGGTCTTCTCCCCTCATTACTTTATTTACCATATAAGTTCCTAATTGTAGTTCAGATATTTCTAAGAGAAATTCTAATTTTTATAGCCTTTCATAAACTATAAAATTAGACCTGCTTGTCACACCCACCCGTTATATCCTCTCTTTCAAAAATTGCTCCACCTCCCCAAGCATCACATAGCCTCATCTTGCATAATTATTATGAAGTTTTATTAAGTCTCTTTTTTTTTTCTGGTTCAATCTAGAGGTTCGTTTGCATCCACAGTTTGTTCCATCTTAGACAAGGTTTAAACATGACTCTGAGTTTGATTTGAATATAATCAAACATTTGCAGACTTTAATATTTCAAATGATTTTGACATGTTAAAGTGTGTTATGAAAGTTTTTTTCTAATGCTACTTATTTTTAAATTAGGATTTGAAAAAACATAAACATCCTTGTATGGCTACAGTCCAATACATGTCTAGTTTCTAAGATCATAAACCCTGGTAACTATAAAGGTTAAAGGTATTATACCATAAGTTTTTATAATCACTCATTATATGATTTCAATATTTCTTTTGGTTTACTGAAATCTTTTTAGAAAATGCCATTTTTAATTTAAGAACACAACAGAGAAAAAGTTGTGTTGAATAAAATTGATTATTTTAATGTTATTCTAAATGATAACAGGTTTGCTATAAAAACTCTGAATACTGGAAGAATAGATTTGAAGAGTTATTTGATGAAAATGAAAATATTCGAGTTCTTATGGAACAAACTCAGGACCATTTACGAAAACAGAATTTAGGGAGGATACCTCTTTCACCTGTATCAACAAACTGCCCATCTGATGTCAGTGAGGACTTTCATAAGTTGAGGCTTGATCTCCTAGTAAAACAGATGGAACATTTACAAGTATGAACTCTCTTCTTTTTTTCTTCAAAATCTTGGTAATATAAATTCTTTATCAACAGATTGTATGTATATAGCTAGATGATTTAATCGATTACTTACAAGCAGTACATCTATTAGTGTCTCGTAAACTACTTAATTATTTTTATGAAAATAATCAACTAATTGAATTTGTGTTTCTAATTTTTACTGTGTTTGAGTATACTAAGAATCATTAATCAAAATTACAATTAAATTGATTGTCACAAAAATACTCAACTACTCGAAATTAGTTGTTTTGATTATTCTAGCTAATTGAGTAATTGAAATATTGCTAGTATGTTTGTTTGTTGTTAAGCACAAAGCTAGATAATGGGAGGGAATGTTATTGTGAAGCTACTAAGGATATCTACTACTTTCACTAATTTTGAACTGCTGACTAGAGGGAAAACAACTGTCTGGCTACATAAGTGTTAAATACAGAGTAAATTTATTGTTTTTTTATGTTGTGTTATGTTTCTTAACTTATAATTGCATAACTGAATTCGTTAATGTTGTACAAGCATGTGTAGATCTAGGGGAAGGGTCCAGGGGTTTGAGACCCTCCTCATCCTTTTTATTTCAAGAAATTAATAACTGTATTCTTTAATATTATATAAGGGATCTGGACCCCTCCATTTATTCAGGAGTTAATAACTGTATTCTTGAAATGTTTTATAATCAGACATGGATCTAAGGAAGTCAAACCACCCTTACCCATTTTTTCAGAAATGAATTACTTTTTTAAATGCTGTGTAAGTACGTACAGATATGGGGGGTCTGAACCCCTCTTTTTTTCTTCTTTTTTTTTTCTGAAATCAATAAAAACAGCCAGGTGTCCTTACACTACCATATAGTATCAACAAGTAACATTATATACCAGTGTTTCTATTTGATTGAGCTGTTAATTGCCATAAAAGCTTCTTTTTGGTTTTCTTAAATCAACACAGCTGGAGTTTACAGTAATCCAGTTAAGGCCTCAGTCAATAACTGATTATTTCTAAGCTAATACAGTATATATTGCTATAGCAGTATATTGCTATAGTCAATTTTTTGGTCTTTCATTTTTCTAGACACACTAACAGTGTGTCTAGACTTTAGTGAATTGTTTTCATCAAACTGGTATTGCTTAGGACACCTGAAGATCTTGTAGCATAGGCTTGTTACAAAACCAATTTTAAATTGTTTAGAACTTATAGAAAGATGTTTTTCATATTGTTGATGTCTAAAATAAGTGAAAATGCAAGTGTATGGCTATACAAGTAAGAACTTTAAAATAAAAATAAATAAATTTATAACAGACATCCTGTTAACCATTGCTATAATTTTCTTTCTATTTTTATTTTCATATCAATCATATTACTAGAAATGAAAATATAAGTTCTGAAATTATTGGATTATAACTTGACTGAGCTAATCATTTATAGAATCTATTATTGTTATTTTAACTTTGTTGATTTGTTTAAGTTACTTTTATAGTATATCGTAAGCAGGTTAATCCAAAATATTATATTATTATAGTGAAAGTGTCTTCTTTCATGTAGGAAATACTAAAAATTTGGTTACACTCTTCACAGCTAACTTTTAAAAAGTTCATTGGTATCATACCATTATTGTCAAAATGAAACATTTACTGCAGCTAGTGTATTAACCAAATAATACAATATTATCTGAATAGATTTTCTAATATTATTTATTTATTCCCTAATGGTTTTGAAACTTTGTAAGATAAAGTTATAACTATACAAAGTTTTATTTTACAAAATAAATTGATGTTATTCTAGTTTTTCTGGTGTTTGATGCTTCTTGAAGAATATTGAAAATACTAGGTTTTTATTTTAGCTATGTCTCATTTGCCTGATAAATAAAATGTTACAAAAGAAACGTATCTTTAACTGTAGTTATAGATACAACACTTAACACGTTTGTGGGATGATTTCTCTAATTATGCAATAATAACTTAAGGCCTCATTGTGAACTCTGCCTTAGATACAGCTAATTTTACGGCTTTGTGTTATGTTTTATTACAGAATGACTCCATTGAGAACTTTCTTTTGAGTGCACCACTGATGGTACATGATGTCCTGTCTTTACCTATTTAAGATTTGGCTGTCATGTGCCACTGGTGGTGCACACTCTGATTTAAGTAATAATAATCAAATGATAATAATATTTAATATTTTTTTCTTTTTTTTTCACCCTAATCTTGCTGTTTTTTTAGAAGAATTATGAATATTTCACAATTTTATGGGCGTAAAAAAGGAACATCAGATAAAATAATCCCTACTGTGGATGATAATAGTTTTATCCTTATTATATAATAGTCTTCATAACAGTTCTCTTATTTATGAAAGAAGTCTCAATTAGTGTTTTTTGCTTCAGTTACTCACAATGAAAAATTTAATGTCAATCTCTAGATGTAATTTTTAAATAAAAAGTGATTTAATCATGTAAATTTGCCTTATTTCAGTTGTCCTTTCAACATGACATTCGTGCTCCACCAGTGGTACATGATGGAAGGCATGGCTTTACTATAGACATCCGTATGAAATAATTGCTTCATATAGGACTTTGGGGATATGAAGGACAGTTATATCTTATGGGTGCTATGTACCACGGGTGGCTCATGATGTCCAACAGAAAATGTGTGTATGTACCACCGGTGGCGCATGATGTCGTGAACATGTTAAGGCCTGTCCCAACATTATTGTAAACTAGGGGTGTTAGATTCCATTTAATGTATTAAATGTTTATTTTTTAATTTAAACGCTATTATATCAATTAAAAAACTGAGCAAGTGCTATTACTTTCTTGCACATATAGCTTTGTATATATATAGCACAGTTGAGTCAGCAAACCAAAGAAATACAGTAATGCCTCTTTTAATGGTGGTGTGTATATAATATATGTGGAGATATTAAGTCCTTTTTAACTCACAATTTAGTATTCTAATAAAAAAATCTGTAGTATCATCATCAAATAGTTGGCTTGCTGTGTAATACTGAATAAAAATTTGGTGCAATTCCACAATATTACAGTATTGACCTGATTATAGAGCAATCTCGAATATAAGGTGACCCCCATTTTCAGAAACCATGGGAAAGAATAAAATTGAGTGTCTTAACATTCTTTTTCAGTCTGCAAAATCAATACTATAACTGAACAGCCTGCAGGTAGATTAGTTGCAGGAATTAGCGATGACCTTGAGCGAACATCTGGCTCGTATGTGTAGATAAATGCTATCTGGATGTTCAGGAATGTGACAGGCTAGTGTAGGGTGAAGGGGCCTGTGGTTGACTGCGATTATAAGGCGACAATGAATTTTACAGCCTAATTATAAACCAAAAACATCGCCTTATAATCGGCAATACGGTATTCACATACCTAAATTAACTTAGGTTCTAAATGGTAAGTTAAAAAGGACTTAAATGCTCCATAAATATTGTAATTCTGGAAAAGTGTCCACAGTATTGTTGCAACAGGTGACTGTTAACAGTGATAAGTGAATAAATCTTTTGTTCTTTTTAAATGTTAAACAATACAATTGCATTGTATGTATGATACATTTTCATATACAAAGTTTAGAATTAAATAACTAACTTAGCCCTAAGATTATTGTCTAGTCTGAAAACAGGATTTCCTCTGGCTTTTCATATTATTTTGCAACTTGATAAAATTGTTTTTTTATCTTTCAACAATTTTAACTCAGAAATATTTTAGAATCAATATTTTGTCATTTTTCTGACATTTATTTAGTGTAATTCATGAAGAGAAATACAAGGTCGTATTTTTATTTTTCACACAGCTTCAAAAAATTTGTAAGTTACTTAAAAAAACAAAACATTCTTAATACCATGTCAGAATAATACAGTGGTTGAAAAAGGGAGCACAATACACTGTTTTTTTATCATTTTGCTTGTACAGGGGAGAGGTTGTACTAATTGTTTAATGAGCCCATCATTTAGTCACTTAGCAAATACCACTTATTGTACAGCTCCGATGTAGTTACATTACAGTATTTAAGCTGATTACTAACCAAAATCTTGCTTTTGAATAGCGTATGACAAATGTAGGAAAGGTTTGGACATAGATGAGCCACAGCAAAGCTAGAACATATTAAATCAAGTTATAGAAGTCAAAGTTTTCTTGTATTTTTTATGAATTCTATATTTTTTTACAAAGGGAATTGTCTTGTTTTTAAGGTTTTTGCTATTTTCAAAAGAAACTTAAGTGTAGTTCTAAGCTAAATGGCAGTGTTGAAGTGAGCTTTCTAACTGATTAATATGATAACTCCAAATTGAGTATTTTTCTGATGGTTAGTATCTGCGATCACCAACAAAGTCTAATTATGGCATATCAATTTTTACATGATGTCATATTTGTTGCACATATATAGTTTTACATTTTTATGAAAACATTTATTTATAGGTTGAAATCTTATGCATACAGTTATGATTTCAGTTTCTGAAGACCTATGAAGAAGTGAAACATCAGGAGAAAGAATCCCGTAAGAGGCTAAGAGTATTAGAAGATGAAAATACAGAACTGAAAGCTAAGTTGGAAGTGGAGGAAGAGAATGATAAAGTACTAGAAGAGAAAGTTGATAAACTGAATGAAGAAAATTTTGAACTAAAGGCTAAACTGGTGAAAGAAGAAGAAGATGATAAGATGCTTGAACAGAAGGTTAATGAATTAAATGAAGAGACTATTGTGTTAAAAGCTAAGTTGGTAGAAGAAGAAGAGGATGATAAGATGCTTGAACAGAAGGTTAATGAATTAAATGAAGAGACTATTGAGTTAAAAGCTAAGTTGGTAGAAGAAGAAGAGGATGACAAGATGCTTGAACAGAAGGTTAATGAATTAAATGAAGAGAATATTGAGTTAAAGGCTAAGTTGGTAGAAGAAGAAGAGGATGACAAGATGCTTGAACAGAAGGTTAATGAATTAAATGAAGAGAATATTGAGTTAAAAGCTAAGTTGGTAGAAGAAGAAGAGGATGACAAGATTTTAGCAGAGCTTGAGCAAAAAATGGAGAATTTGACAAAAGAAAACATTTTACTTAAGACTCAACTTGCTACAGGAAATGATGAGAAGACTATATTAGCTAACCTAGAAGGAGAAGTCCGAGAGATTCATTTAGAGAATCTGGAACTGAAGAAGACTTTGGAACAGCTTCAGTCTCAACTTCTTCAGTCTACATTAATTCAAAATGTAGGGAATGTAGAAAAGACAGGTAGTAACTTGAAAATAGACACTTTAAGGAAACAAACTAATGCTTTAGTCATTGAGAACAGACAACTTAAAACCAGTATTGATAAATTTAAGGATAGTATACCATCTAGAACAGAGGAAAATCAGCGTGAGCAGCTGAATGAACTTCAGTTTGAGAACCAAGACTTGAAGAATGAGATTGGACGACTTCGTTACATGAAACCTCCTAACAGAAAGTATTATATGTCTGATGTGCCCACTAGTGACCAAAGTATAACTTCTGATTTAAAGACTGAAGAAACACCACATGATGGCATGGAACCTTTACTTCAGATGCTGGATACTGCTCACCAGGAGTCCAGGCACTGGGAGAAATTGTACAAAGAGTTAAAAAACAAATTAGACAACAAACCATATGAAAATTGGACTGAAGCTATTACTACAGGTGTTACTAATGGTAGCAAGGCTGTAACTAATATTATAACATCTGTACTTGACCACATCTCTCAACAAAATGTAACACTTAGTGACCTTATGCATGTTCAACTGAATGCAACTCAAGTAGCATTTAGAGACATTAAACAGAATCTGGCAGAAAAATGGACAGAGCTACAGATGATTACAGATTCCGAGCAGTTCAAACAATTTGCCAATCACACAGAGAAGCTGATCACTAGGATGTCTCAGACCCTTCAGAGTGCTGTTCAGAAAATTCAAGACATAGGAGACAAGTTTGTTCAGAGCCAGAAGCCCTTGGAATCACGGGTAAGCAAGCTAGGCCAAAAAGTCTTAAAAGTTGTAGATAAGCTGGAGGAACAATGGGCTGACATGAAGAGGAAATGGTCTAGGAAAGTTCTGAAACAACAGTCAATAGTTAACAAAAAGTTTGATGAAGATGGTGGCAATGGCTACAAGGATAAAGATACACTATTCTTAAAGCAAGGTTTTGATGATGAGGAAAAACCATCTGACAACACTGATAATGATGACAGGTATTTCCAGAAGAACACGAGGGAGAAACAGATACAAAAGAAGAAGGAAAACAAACTAAAGTACAAAAAAAGGAAGAAAGACAGTAATGAGCACCTAAGTGAAGAACTACTGTCCTTAAAGAACAAATATGGAGTGAAAGAACAAAATCATCACCATAAAGAAGAAGGTTATTACTTGCGAGATTAGGTTGGTATGGTATGAAAAATTAAACTTTGGAAATGTACCATCACCCCTAGCTGTTAAGGTGTGAAATATGTATTGGCAAGTAATATATGGGGAGATATTTAATATTTTAGGTGAAATCAAGAAGTTGGTTAAAGAACAATTGACATGTTTTTATACCCTTTAGCTTTTCTCTTCTAGCTTTATGTTCTGATGTGGTAATGTAAAACTGGAGGTGATGGAATGTACTAGTTATCTTTGTGTTCCTTTTAGTTTGTGGTAATGTGAAACTGGAGGTGATGGAATGTACTAGTTATCTTTGTGTTCTTTTTAGTTTGTGGTAATGTAAAATTGGAGGTGATGGAATGTACTAGGTATCTTTGCGTTCCTTTTAGTATCTTATTTTATAACAACATATATATATATAATTATTTATATTGTGATCATTTTATCAAAGTGTTTTTGCTTGCCTAGATTTGTTTTTTAAAGTTGTTCATCAGATGGTTAGCTCCAATATTTTTTCACTGGCTACTCATACATGATTCTCAAGACCAAATAAGTTTCTTTTTTTTATATTGTTAATATTATTGACTGAATCTTTCTTATACTAATAGCTGTGTTTATTTTTGTACTCTGTTTTTGGTTTTTCATATATTCTTAAATTTCATGTACCATGTTCCATTTATTAGCTAGTTATGTGTTTTAAGTACTTTGAAATTAAGCAACACTTAAGGAGCTTGATGTATTTATACGTTAGTAGAAGATGGTCGTATTACTAGGAATATTCACAGTAATAAAAGTATCGGTTTTATTAGGTATTGCGTGCTACAGAATGCCAACTATATAATTTGTTCTGCAATATATGGTTTATAAAAGTATTCTTATGCTTCATAGTTTTGCACTAACTAATGTGATGCACTGTTACATCCATTCATTTATATAATTTGCTATTATATACTGCATAGTATATTGGCTTGCACACACACACATTTCAAGGCTAGTTATGTATATATGTATGCCTCATACATACTAATATACTGATGGGTGTGTAAAGTTATCCTGAATACTCTTGATGTAAAGTACCTAATAACATGAAATATGATCTTATTCTGAATACACTTGATGTAAAGCACCTAATAACATGAAATATGATCTTATTTTGAATACACTTGATGTAAAGCACCTAAAAACATGAAATATAATCTTATTCTGAATACACTTGATGTAAAGCACCTACTAACATGAAATATAATCGTATTCTGAATATACTTGATGTAAAGCACCTCACAATGTGAAATACTGATGTAAAATTCTATGTTAATTTCATTGTACTTTATGGACTCCGATTAGTCTTGCCCTTTTCCATGTAGAAATATTAATGTTATACTGACTGGTATACTACTCAGTGTATAGATTAGTACTATGTATAACTAACCTTTATCCATAGGTTTCTGTTGAAAACATCCCTGAATTTTTAAAGGTTCTTTATTTATTATAAGCTCCATTGTAGAGAGTTTTTGGAGATGCTTGAGGAACACATCATATATGTATGTTTAATGTTAAATTTTATTCTTTTTGAACAGTGACTGTTGTGCAAAAGTATTAAATGGAAGATTAATAACCAATGTATATGTCATTAAAGTATACTCAGACATTGAAAGCAAAAAGTTATTGGATTTCCCAAAGCGAATCTAGATTTAAGGCATACATATGTTCTTTTGTAATATGCAAAAATTGAAGGTAACTAAAATGTATATATATATATATATATATGTATAATAAATAAGAAGCTACAATAATTTTGGTTTCTGCTAAAAATGTTATATATCTATAAATAATTTTTTAATTTTAGCAAAATTCTTTAACTCTCACATGGAAATGTGCTGTCATATACTTGTGAAAAGTTTGCCAAAAGCTATTTCTGCCCCCCCCCCTCACAAGTCTGTATACAACTATGAAGCCATTTTACAATTTCTAAGTTTTGAGTGTTCATTGTTTGTCAGTAACACTTCATTCAGCAGAATAGTTAATAATAAAATGAATACATTAAAACATTTGTCCAAAGATTTATTTGCAAACATTTTTACCTAACTCAGTCTATATATATTTGATACAGTTATAAAAACTTACTTTTAAGTCGTTGTTTAACATTTCCAATACTGATATACTGTTAGCTTGTTTTCAAATTACATTTCTTGTATACTTGTTAATATCTGGTTATTTCTAGTTGGAAGGCATAGAATTCTGCATTTTCCATAATTTGGGTTTAGTATCTTTCACTTGCATAGCTTTTCCAAAGAAATAAAAAAAAAGTCAGTGAAACTACACAAGTTAGTTTATGATTCTGATTTGAATTTTTTTTCTCCGATTTTCAATCAAAGGTCAGCTTTTAAAGACCATTTATCATCCCAGCTGTAGGTTGCACTTATGCAATGTTTAATGTACATTAAAAGTTTTCTGATCATGTGTTTTACAAAAAAACATCTAAATTATGTTTCAAAGCTACCCTGCTTGTTCAGGTAAGCTTTTTAAAATGATTGATCAAAGAAATTCTGTAAAATACTTTTTCTGGTATACTGAACATCTGTCATTTTAGTTAATGACTACTTACAATATTACTCTTCAATTCTGTCAATCAAGTTGTCTAAAGTTAGGCATTTTTGTTCTTTGAAAATACAAGCCAAGCAGCTTTTGTAAGTATACTTTCCTTATACTTACTTAATCTTGCAACATGTAATGGTATCAGAACCTATGTACATGTGGAACTGACATCTGGATGCCATTCAAATGATGTTCCTAGAAATCTAATTTATTGTCTTAGATTATATCAGGTTAAATACTAAACAGCAGCTTCTCAACTATAATTTGTCCGTAGACTATATCAAGATTTCCCAAACTTTCTTAGCAAAAGGCCTCCCAGAGGTCTGGCCCCAGTTTGGGAACCCTTGGACTACTTGATCTCTGGCAAATGAGTAGGTTTCATGTTTTTGACAATGCATAGTTATTTTTATTAAGGCTGGTAGTGTTAAAAATGCAATTTAAGAAAAAGTGGATACATCTCTATTGTAATAATAAATACTCTTTGAAATTCACAAATATTATCCACTCAAGGAAATCTTTCTGAAATAATCTCTAGTTTTGTTGCTTACAGTGCAATTTTTGGGATTAAAAAATATGCTAGAAGATGAAATATTTTCTTACAACAGCTAGATATCCCCACTGTATATTTTGGTATGAAGTATGCTAAATAACAGTTAAAACTAAGTGAGTATTGTTTTTAACGATGCTAATTTTTACTTTATAAATTTTTAGACTTCATAAAGTAACCCTGTAATACTGAGGTCAGTGATGTAATGGTAGAAGTAGACATTATAAACCATTTATAATATCGAAATAATTTATCAGTTTTGCCTGCCATAAACAGAAAGATATTGGAATTAGAAGGTAACACTAAAGTTGCAATTGAATGGTAGCATATTTGTATGTATTATTAGGTTTGAAACAATTTAGGAGACAATAATGTCAAGTGTAGACAAATACTGTTTATGGACATGTTACTCAGGAACAAAAAGTAGTTTGAATATTTTGATTTGATAAAAATACAAATGGAAGATTTTACAAAGTATGAATTATTAAAGGATTTATGTTAACCAGAATTATTAGTTTGTAAACAAGTGATAATTAAGTGTAGCAAGAAAAAAATAAAAGTTTAATATTTTCATTTGAAAACAAAAGAGAAACAATTTCAAGAAGATTTTAATGTTACTGTGTTCTGTTTCTGTGATAAAGTTTTGGTAATTTGAAGCACAATTGTGAATTGCTGTCAAATTGTACAAGTAGTTTAACTATGAATTGACCAAATAAAGTTTGTATAGTCCTTGAACCTGTTATAATTTATTTTCAGCATGTAGGGTATTAATATGGTGCACTCTTATAAAGTATATAACACTAAGGCACTAGAAGCATTGCTGTCAGTGTAAATTTTTATAAGCCTATTTAAAACTTGTTCAATTCAAGTTTGACATCTTCGCATAGGTTTAGGAAACTTGTTTGTAATACTAAGTACTCTAAGGAGAGAGAGATTATTAAGGAAAATGCTCATTTTACTAAGTTTTATTAATAACTGCTTAATGTAACAGACTAACACAAACATCCATGCCATAGTTACATTATAATTACATTATAATACCATCACTCTTGTACTCAGATCTTTTTTTTTATTAAAGTAGAAATAGAAATTCAAGCTTATTCTGTTCAGACTGCATTTCAGTAGATTAAAGAAATTTGTGTATTGTTTAGAAAAGGTATAAACCAAACCATAATTATTATTTCTTTACAAATAATTATAGAATTAAAAATTAAAGATGGGTTTAGTCTTCTGCAGTAAAGTACTGGTTAGTATCTGTAGATGTAGTATCAGACTTTTTTATTAATAAATTTCAAATGACTAGAAAATTTAGTATTAATAGTGTTTAATGCAGTGTAAATATTTCTAGTTTAAAATTTTTAATCAATGCTTGTAAGTTTTTATTGGCAAGAGTTTTAATTGTATTTAAGATTTTTTTTAAAGCTAGTGTGATGAGTTCAACTATGTTAACATGTTTTCAGTATGTGTTGATTTTATTTCACATTCTTTTTTGAAAATTATATAAAAATGTACCTCTGTACATAAAATGTTACTATTATCATTTTGAAAAGCTTTTTCATAAAATAGGAAATCAAGTTTTTATAAAAATTATATCACATATTTTATACTGAAAAGAAAAAACGTGAAACTTGTAATACTTAGAAAAGCATTATGTGTGACAAGAGCTATCAAATAATACCTAACCAATTGTAAGAATCTTTAATATTTCAAACGTTTTGGAATTATACATATCCATCATCAGCAAATCAATGAGAATAATCAATAGGAACAGTATTAATCATTTTTGATAAACAAATTTATAATAGAAGGTATTTAATTTTGTATAACCAAGTGCATTATAATTACTAAAATGAAATTAAAAAAATTAATATATATGAAAAACCTTTCAGTTATTTGCTTTAAAAATATTCATGATGTTAACATTAAAAAAAGAAGAAAAACAACACAAAGCTATCAATGTCAAGTATTAATTAGTTTACTAACTGACCACTTTTATTAGGATTCCCCATCTAATTTTGGATTTCGACCATTATTTGCACAATAATCAGTTGGACTCTGTATGGAAGGAACACCAGAAGTTTTTGTTGTAATTATAACCTAACTGGCATGGACTATGCTCTGCAATTGGTTTGAAGGTGTTGACAATTTGATGATTAGAATGGCAAGCAACATTACAGTTCAGTGCAAAAGTGCTCAATCAGGTTAAAATCTAGTGATCATATTGATCAAGGAATATTAACCATGTAATTGTCATCCTCTTTAAACTCAATTCAGACAATGCATTGTACTAATTGCATTGTCATCTTAGCAAAAATATTGTTCCAGTGAGAAAGAAATGCAGCATTATAAGAAAGACATAATTGGTAGCAGTGTTTGGGTACATGTGAATGTTGTTTTACCTATTTAAAAGAATCCAAAGATATTCCCCACACCATTCCATCAGCAGCAACTTTCACTATTGTAGCAATACAAGAACCTTCAAGTGCTTTATTTGGTTTTCTACATATGTATATGAATTGATTCAGCTTACACAGTTTACTAGCAAACCTCTGTATAGTGGTAATGGTATTTCTCAATGTAATAATGTAATTAGTTTCCTTGGATGAAACTCTTTCCTTGTGGTCACCATATAGAAGGTCCAACAACACTTTTAATTCCTTAAATATATTAGATGCTAGTGTGTTAGCAATAGCTTTGTATAATGCAGATATATAGCTCAGCAGAAGTGGCTAGCTTTGTTTTCACATATCCGTCTCTACTCCATATGGTTGTATACGTTTACACATCATCTAAGGAAGAGGAAACGACTTCTGATTCTTAAAATTTTACACATTCCAACAACCATATACCACTGGTGTACATTTGCACTCCAGCCTAAAAGCAATAGTATTATGTTGAACTGGCTATATATTTTGGCAATGGATAGCATCTTCTCAATACCCAGAAAACAATATTCTGTACAACAAAATTACAAAAGTTATGGAATTGAAAACATATTGCCAGTAGCTTAACCATCTCCTGTTTCCACAATGGTACTTTATCTTGTGGCTGGTATGAAGCATCAGTTTTTTCCTCTATACTGTTTTTCTTTAACTTAACCAACAGCATTTTCACTTTTTAGTCCATTACTTTCTTCTCTGTTAACTATACTTTCTTTTCCAAACCATTGGATAATAGCTGTACACGACATATGTGTATCCTGATTTTCAACCTTTGAGCAAGATGTGAAGTAGAATCAGCATCAGTTATCTGGACTTGGACTACACATTAAGCAATGATGACTGAGGTTGCTCATTGGCTTATTTATAAAAGTCTTTCAGACTGCTTGTAGAACATTCTTAAAATGGAGCTCTATAGCTTTTCAGCACATTTCATGAAAAGTATTACATCACAGAGCTAATACAATGTGGGGTGTAAATGCACCTCAGATGCACAGTGTAAGTACAAACAGGAAACAAAACTCTTGTAGTGCATAATCCCGATACGGTGTTACCTCCCCTAATACAAAGCTATTTTGATCTTTCCGTCCTCTAAGCAATGCTAAAAACAATTTCATGCTTAGCACACCAGTCTATATACCCCACCAATTTTGCACTACTATTGAATATGTACCTATCATGTGACTACTCTTCACCAATAGTATTGTGACACCTATATTGGTGCAGCTAGGTCCCTCTGCTATTCCTGCTGAATCCTTTCTTGATTATTACACTTTCATTTAGATGTGTATTCGCATGTGGCTCATTCATGATTGTGCATACTTGCCATTTCAGTTTTCATTTCAGTAGTTTTCTTTTACTGTGTTTACATTCAGTTGTTTCAACGATATTTTTTTTGCATTTGTTTCTTGTTACCAAATTATGAGAACTTCGTATGGATTCGCGATTCAAGGTATAGACTACAGTAGTTCCTGTTACAGTTGACAATGCAACTGATACAACTTCCCAGGAATCTGCAGACCAGTTACAGGTCTTAATTCACAGGGAACTAGATTCAGATGTTCAGTCTGCAATTTCTTCTCCTTTTCAACCTGACAATGTTGCTGAAGAAGAAGACAATTTGGACTTTTCCTGACACCTTATTTTGGTCTGTCTCACATTACATTTTCAGGAGATTTCATCTTCCACACCCGATTACTCGGGTAGATGCTTATCAGTTTTTCTGTATATTCAAGGCAAGGGTGATTTTGCTAGTTTTCTTTTCACAGAAACATTTTTAGAGGGTTGAGGTGCTTACCTCGACACTTGGGAGACGTCCAAGCTCTGGTTGATCGACAAGTCTTCTCTCCATGTCAACATTCTCAAACTTGTGCCAATTCCTCAAGCTTTGTCCCACTTCCTTCCTCTCTTGTGGGGAAGGGTGGTTATGGTACACTCTGACAACTCCACCATGGTCACTTATATCATTAAGCAAGGGGTACCAAATCCAGGTCTCTGTGTTTTCAAATCCTGGATCTCCATTTCTTGGCCCACAGTCATCACATGGTATTCTTAGCTTGCCATGTTCCTGGCACCCTGAATCTGGTTGCAGATCATTTATCTTGACCCAACAAGATTCTCCCCACGGAGTGGTCCTTTGATCCACAGGTCTTTCAGTGGGTGTATTCTCAGCCTTGTTGACGTGTACCATATACCATATCTCACTCAAGACCTATTTCCACCTCCTCCTCATTTGTGGATGTCTTCAATCAGATATTTATACCGTTTATGTTACCAGAATTTTCTACCCCTCCACTTATGTCATCCGATATCGAGACTAGTTCTTACTTCCCAAGACCTATGCTGCCCATGAAGGCTGTTTGACTTTCACACACTTTTCCTTACCTTCCATTGCCACCTGTACTTTCATTCTGATTCATATTGGTTTCTTTGTCTGGTTCACTCCTTTCAGAGTTTCCATGATTAAACCCCTCTCATACTAACTGGTTGGGTTCGTCAACTCATTAGGCTGGCATATTCTGACTTTATCCATGGAAGGTTGCCATCTCCACAACATTTTTTCTCATGAAATTTGTCATATCACCACGTCTTTGGTTGCTCACCTTCACCACCTGTTCGAGAAGATCGTTCAGGCCAGAATTTAGACTACTCCCAATACCTTCATTGCTCATTATCTACATGATCTTCCTCAGGTAGATATCATCTCCCTTCCATGGCAATTCTACACACATCTGTTTGCCTCTGACTGGGGTAAGTCTTATCACATCATTTCATTTATGTTTTTAGAGACCCTTTCTTTTTTACCACTGCTAATGGGATCCCACTCTGTGGTGAGTGTTGTCTGGTCAGGTATGCTTTGTCTCAAGCCTGCATAATTTATTGGTTGCACTCACTGTAGAGATGGGGTGTTCTGCAAGACCACTGGTATCATGCCCAATGGTATATACACATTTCTAAATATCCATAAGTTCACTCCATTTTGGACCATCACTCATGGAATTTCATAAGTAAAACATAAGAGGATTTCTGCCCATCCCTGCTGACCCCTTGATTGAATAAATCAGGGATGGTTTCCTTTTCAAAATAGGGGATCGTGGACACCCATTGCACTTTCTCCAGAGTGATGTTGCTCTGGACTACCCTACCCTTTTTCTGAGCAGAGTAAGGGAGTCCTTACCACTTCCCAGTCGCTGTGGTGGTGGACCATGGAGGCTTCCCCCTGAGTGAATTGTACACTTTTAACTTGCCATTTATCCACACAGTGAGAAGAGTGCAAAGCTGGTTTTCCTCCTTTCATTTCCCCTGGATGC